CCCATCTAGACATAGTCTACTCTTAGGTAGAAACTGGGTTGTCTGCTCCCAAAAATGTGCAGTTAGAAAGCTGTTATAGGGGAAATAGAAGAATGGAGAGGAAATTGGACATAGGTTGTGGAAATTGATATTTTCACCCCATCAGACATGATGGCAAAATGAGTTTTCTTCCCTCAGGGTGTTCACTCATTTATTCTTTCAGTCTTTTTCCTGCCTCCTTCCTCCCAGTTTTCCTTCCATCCATCATCAGTCTTCCTTCCTTCCTTCCTTCCTTCCCTCCTTCCTTCCTCATAATTCGCCCTCATCAAGGAGGCAAGGTTGAGAAACACAGAGGGAAGGAGAGAAAGAAAAACCAAGTGGCTTTCAGTTCCTTCAGAATCTGCTTCAAAGAGATGATGATGGTGGAGATGATGGGAGGATATGTGTGTGTATGTGTGAGAGTGGAGAATGCTTTTTACTGCAATCTCTCGAGCTCCTTTTTTCTGTCCCCGAGCGATGAGGCATTGAGGGTTTGGGAGCTTTCTGGTGAAAGGTTTCTGACTTAGATAAGGAAGATTTGGTTCACAGTGCCCTCAGAAATTATTATATAAGCAGGACTGCTTTCATGACTAAATATTAAGCAATTTTAAATGAGAAATGTATTACGTTTTTGTGGGTGGGGGGAAAGGAAGGAAGAGAAACGGGAGGGCCAAGCTGTCGGCTGGAGAGAGAAGGAGAGAATCCCATTTCCTTCCTAGTTAGCCGGCCTCTTCCTCCATCCGGCTGCACTCCAGATGTGCATGGACTACATATCCCATACTCCCCAGCAACGGCAAAAGGTCACACACACCCTGTGCATGGCTGGAGGTCCGGGGAATGTGCAGGGGTGGCCTCAGTTAACAGCAGCGGGAAAAGAAAGGTTGATCCTTGCTCCCACTTTTTCCTGATTAAAGAAATAAATTATAACAATCTGGAGGTCCAGAAGATGGGAATATCAGAGAGAGAAGAAGAGTGTGCACCCCCATCACTTAATTGTTGGTCAGCTGCCGCTCAGGCCTGGTTGCAAACATTTTGACTGGTTAATTAATGGTGCCTTCTGTGGTGAATGTTTGGTCAACGAAGACGTTTGACTGGATGCCTAAGGCGGTCCTGGAGGGGGGGGTCCCTGTCTCGCTACCCCCCCTCAGGCTCCTCCTTGTTGGGCCTTCTGATGTGGCTCTCCTTCTCCTCCTCCTCCTCCCCCTGTCTCCAGATGAGATCTGTGACTACTTTGGGGTGAAGATCGCCATGTACTTCGCTTGGCTGGGCTTCTACACCTCCGCCATGGTCTACCCGGCCGTCTTCGGCACGCTGCTTTACACCCTCACCGAGAGCGACCAGGTGAGGCGGCGAGGGGCGGGCAGGGAGGTGGTGCTCCAGGAGGAGAAAAGGATCCTCTGCGCTTTGGGTGGTCGTGCCTTCCGTTGAAAACAATCGTGCAAAATTGAACCGGCGCAAGCGCCAAGTGCTGCACTGATTCAAAGGCATCCTTACAAGGGGGGGGGGGAGATTCTGGGCTCCATAATGCGATAAGCGGGAAGGAGTTTGGCCTGGTTGGAGATCCCAAGCTGAACGTGAGCCCAACAGGGTGAGGCGGAGATTCTGGGCTCCATGATGCGATGAGCAGGAAGGAGTTTGGCCTGTTCGGAGATTCCAAGCTGAATGTGAGCCCAACAGGGTGAGGCAGCTGCAAAAAAGGCCAATGTGATTTGAGGCTCAATGAGCAGAAATCGAGCCTCCCAATCCTGAGAAGGACTAAGTTCCTCTCTGTTTGGCACTGGCGAAGCTTCATCCTGAGTCCTGTGTTCCAGTTCTGAACACCACATTTTAAGAAGGATGCTGATTCCGAGGAGGGCAACCAGGAGGATCAGGGAATTGGAAACCAAGCCCTTTGAGGAGAAAAGATGGAAAGCACTGGGCAGGTTGAGAGGAGACGACGGAGAGTCGTGATCCTAGCAGAGGGACCGTTTGCCGGTTGTAGCGTTAAAAAGGAGGAGCAGATTCGGGGCCACTGATTCGGGCGTTTCTGATGCTTTGGTCTCTGCCAAGCAGCCTTGCCTCAGTTTCCTCCCACAGGGCCCCATTTACCGCTTCACTTACTGTGTCGCTTAGAGCTTTCTGATGTGATTAGGTTGATGGGGGGGGGGATTCCAGCAGGATCTGGGCAAGAATCTGAACAAGGAAGCATCCAAAATTGGCGTTTTGGGGTAGGGAGCAGAGAAAGACTGGAACCAAGAGAGACATAATATATTAGTTCCTCTAAAAGGAGAGTATTTATTAATTTAAAGTGTTTGTGAATCACCCTTTGTGAAGGATGCACAGTTTAACGTGCTCTTATATGGCTTTTAACGAGGGACGATGCCCAGAGTGGTCGACCAGATGGGCGGGATATAAATCAAATAAATAAATAAACAAACAAACAACCCAAAGGAAAGGGAGCATCCCTTAACCACAGGCCAAAACCATGGAGAACCTAGTTTTAAAGATCCACTTCTCTGCCTGGCCTGCAGGTCTGAACAGTGCCGAAAACGTATGCTTAAATATTATTTCTGCTGCACGGGAGTGCAATGATAAGGATTGTGCCACACAGCAAGCCAGCATTCCATAAGGCAGTTCTAGAAACGGGGGAATCCCAATCAAAAATTATAACTTTGAAACAGGACCTCAGATCAGCACAAAATTTGGCACAGATGTAGGAGACCATCTGCTCTTCCTTAGTTCCAGATTCGAGGTCATTTGGGCAAACACTGTTCGAGTTACAGTTTTTTAAAAAGTAGAACTATTTTACTCTGCTCTCCATGCAGACACGGGTGACCTTTTCTGTCACTAGGGTTTTTGTTTTTTTTTAAGGGGGTTATCCTAATTTAAACAAATCCCTGACAGCCAGTGGGCCCCCCCATGTGGTTGTTCTCTGTTTTTCTGCCTCATTCGTCTTTACCCTCTCCTTGACCTCCCCCCCCCCCAATTCAGACCAGCCGGGACGTTTGCTGTGTGATCTTCGCCATCTTCAATGTAATCTGGTCCACGTTGTTTCTGGAGGAGTGGAAGCGCCGGGGGGCTGAGTATGCCTATAAGTGGGGGACGCTGGATACGCCCGCAGAGTCCATAGAGGAGCCTCGGCCCCAGTTTCGGGTCAGCAGCGTTGGGTCAAGTTTCGAAAATGGGTGGGTGGGTAGGAAGAGCCATGCAGTATCACACTGTAGGTGTGGGTGTGGCTTTTCTAAGTCTGCAATCTTTGCTGATGAAGACCATCGTTTCCAGCAATGAACACTTGCTCCCCTCACTTGGCTTTGTTCTGGATCAGCATCATGGTGCATTTAGCGTTGAGGTGAGGAGTGTGCGGCCCGAGGGCTGGAACCGGCCTTCCCAGGGTCTTCCGCTTGCCCTCTTTGAATAGCGCTCTCCCTCTCCCTGCGACACCCTCCTTCATGGATCAGTAAGGTGCCTCACCCCAAATTCTGGAAGGTTATCCTGACTCCCCACCCCAAGACTTTGTTACTGGAAGTCAGGGTCTTCAATTTAAAAAGGATGGTGTTTTTCTTGACCATCAGTTCCCCCCCCCCCAACTCCCGAATCCCAAGGATTTTTTCAGGGACAACATTTTAGCCCTTAGTCGAAACCCCTTTGTTTCAGTTGTCTTTAATTGGGTGGGTTAATGGATTAGATATAATAAGCCCTTCTCAAGGAGGCCCAGTGGGGATTTGAACTCCCAAACTCTTTGGGTCCATTAAAAAAAAGCCCTCCTAAGCTCTTTTCAAATGAGGTATCCACAAAAAATGGCCCCTGGGCTGTGCCCATCCGGAGTGTGGTTGATGATGCCCTCATGGTCTCTCGGCCTTCCCTGTCTAGGGTGTGAAGCGCGTCAGCCCCGTGACCAATGCTGAGGAGTTTTACTACCCGCCGTGGAAACGGCTGGTCTTCCAGTGTCTGGTGAGCCTGCCCATCTGCCTCTTCTGCCTCTCCTTCGTCTTCCTCGCCATGCTGGGCTGCTTCGAGTTGCAGGTAAGGAGAGCCCACGCGGAGGAAGGCTGTGCCATGGGGGACACGGCATGGCACCGAGTGACGGGCAACCCTCAGTGCCCAGTGTTGCAGCGAAGCTGCCGTTTGGCTCACCTGGGAGGCAACCTAGGCCTAGCTCTGCTTCAGCTTCTTGCTCCAGGGCTAGCTGGAGGCACTTCCTGTCCCAGCAGGAAGCTAGGCCTAGCTCAGCCCTCCAGGCCCTTCTCCCAGGTGAGCCATACTCAGGTTAGGCTGTCTTGGTCCAGAATGGAAAATGGGGGGATTTGTCATCTGGAAGGGATAACAAAGCCCATAACGTTGGGTTGCGTGTTTCCTTCCACTCAGGAATTTGTGATGAGCATCAAGGAGTTGCCGCGGATCGTGCGCTTCTTGCCGAAAATCGTGCTGGCCGTCATCGTCACTGCCTGTGACGAGGTCTACAGGAAGATCGCCTACTGGCTCAACGACATGGGTGAGTAGCCCCACTGCATTTGCTTGGCTTGCATCTTTTGTCTCAAGGCCAACCCTTGGAAAGGTGGCTTCTCATGAAATTTTAGGGGGGGGGGGACTTGGGAATTGTAGTAGCAAGGGAAGGAAAAGCCAGCGTGGTGTAGCGGACGGCGTGCTGGACCAGGGCTCTGGAGGCCTGGGTTCAAATCCCCACTCGGTGATGGAGACTCAGCGGGTGACCTTGGGACACTCCATCTTGTCCTGGCTCTACCTCGCAGGGTGCTTGGGGAGGTACCTGTGTGTGTGTGTGTGTGTGAGTGTGAGTGTGTGTGAGTGTGTATGAGAATGGAGCCCTTCAAATCCCCACTCGGTGATGGAGACTCAGTGGGTGACCTTGGGACACTCTGTCTTGTCCTGGCTCTACCCCGCAGGGTGCTTGGGGGTGTGTGTGTGTGTGAGTGTGAGTGTGTGTGAGTGTGTATGAGAATGGAGCCCTGGTTCCTGCTTTAAACTCACTGGATGAAAAGTAACTTTAACAAATGAAGAATTACTTTCCAAATAAAGCAGGAATAGGCAACCTGGTACCTTCCCTTGTGTTGTTGACTATAACCCCCGTCAGTCCCAGCTTGCTTGGCCAAGCCTCATGGTTTATGAGATTTCGGCTTTCTATCTTCTTGATCCCACTTTTGAGTTTTGCGGAGGTTTCCGCTCAGCCATGCGGTCGGATGAAATTCTAGATCAGGGGTGTGTGTGTGGAGAACGTATGGCTGCCCCGTGGTGGTGCAAAATGGGAGTTGTAGTCCAACTGTATACAGAAGCTCAGAGTTTCATAGCTCCATAAAGTTTCTTTTCTCTACCTGGTCATTTTCTATCCCGCTCACTAAGTTTCCAAAGGAAAATATCGACCTAGGATCTGAATTTCAGAGATTCTCTCCGGGGGCTTCGTAAAAGGCCAAACAAGGGGCGGGATCCCCAAATCCCAGCAGCTTTCTGTTTGAACCTCTTCCTGCCAGGAAGGAACCCACTAAAGGTTGGGCCTTTTATCCTTTGAGGATAAGATTAAAACAACAACAACGACCAAAAAATCCTGTTATTTTCATTGCAGAAAACTACCGCTTACAGAGTGCCTATGAAAAAAACCTCATCATTAAAATGGTCTTGGTAAGTCTGCCCAACCCACTCTCAGGAGCAGGATCCGTCTCAAAAAACAAAAACAAAAAACCAACACAAAAATAGCAGAGCTGGGAGAAGTTCCTTTTTCTTTGGACTACAGAGCCCAGGGTCCCCCAGCCCAGCAGGAGAACTGCATCCCATAAACACAGTTTTCACCACTCCTGACCAAGCAAATGCGACACCACCCTCTGAAACTTTGGGAGAGCAGGGTTGTATTTAAACGTACCATCCTTGTTGTGTAAAAGCCCGCCCTCGGCGTGTCATCCACCCTCCGAGGTCCAGCTATAGGTGCGCGCGCTCCTTCCTGGATCGCTGGAGGCTTCTCCGGAGTAGACTAAAGCCTCCAGCTTCGGAGGCAGTCTACGTCGGAAGGCTTGGCGTCAAGCGGCAGCGTTTTACTTGTTTATCCCGACATCCCGCTCTCCATTTATTTATTTCTGTTCTTTTCTCTCTCTTTCTCTGCTTGTGGTTCCCGACAGTTCCAATTTGTAAATTCATATCTAAGTCTTTTCTACATCGGATTCTACCTCAAGGACATGGAGCGACTCAAGGAGGTAACGGCCCTTTCTCTCTTTCCCATATCAGAGGAGAAACCCTAACAAACAGCAAAAAATATAGAGAAATCTGAGGCCACGATTTATCTCCCCTTTACTACTTTGCGGCTTAAGGTTTAACCTTAAGGTCAACGGCCGCCACCTTCGCAGGCGGTGCAGAGAAAAGGGCTGATCCTTCCTTGCCCTCGGCTGCTTGACTGCCCAGGCTTTCCATTCTGCTGTCCCTTTAATGAAGTTTCGTATTTTGGCTCCGCTGCTGGTAGACGGATCTAGTGTCCACCTAGATCCCAGGAGGTCTTTCCGGGGGGCTCCCAGGAAGCAGGAGGGTTGAGCTTTTTCCTTGCCCTCGGCTGCTTGACGGCCCGTGCTTTCCATTCTGAGTTTTCTATTTTAACTCCCCTCCTGGCCTCGCTGCCCCTGAATCCAGAAAAAACCTCTCGCCAGCCTTTACGTGCCAGAAGGCCATCCGTCTGGCAAGTTTTCGCGGTGGGTTTGCCTGCTTTGGCAAAAGGGATTTGGGGCTTGGGGAACTCCCTTTTGAGCTTTGTAAGTGGAATCCCACCC